TGAACCTGGGACCCTTCAGTCCGCAGGCTGACGCTCTACCCACTGAGCCAAGCCGGCTAGGGCTCAGTTGCAGGTTTGATCCCCCACCTTGATTGGGGCATGTGTGTGAGGCAACCAATCAATGTATCTCTCTCACATGGATGTTTCTGTCTCTCCCCCTCCCTTCCACTCTCTCTAAAAATCAATGGAAAAATATCCAGGTGAGGATTAACAAAAAAAAAGAAGAAGAAGAAATTACAAATTAAGTGTCTGCAAGGGGAGATTACCAACAAGAAGCAAATCAGTTCACCGAGTTTAACCTCCAAGAGGCTTAATGTTTGGAAGCACGTTACCATAGAAGGTCAGAAGTGAGGTATGGAGCTAAACATGGAGACTGGCTGAAGTCTGTAGGGAGAGCATTTTGCCCCCACCTCAGAGCTCCTCTCTCAACAGCCAAACTACTACTCGAAACTCCCTTGCTGCATAAGGAGAAAGGAAAATGAACTCTGGAGGCCTCCATACTCAGGGACCTCAGGCATAACTTTTTAATATATGTTTTTAATTATGTGTGTGTGTGTGTGTGATTTTGTTATTATTGTTAAACCTCACCCGAGGATATTTTTCCATTGATTTTTTAGGGAGAGTGGAAGAGAGAGAGAAAGACAGAAACATCGATGTGAGAGAAACACAGTGATTGATTCGTTGCCTCCTGCAAGCGCCCTAACCAGGGCCCAGGCCAGGGAGGAGCCTGCAACCAAGGTACGTGCCCTTGATGGAATCAAATCCAGGACCCTTTGGTCTGCAGGCAGACATTCTATCCACTGAGCAAAACTGACTAGGGCTAAATATATTTTTATTGATTTCAGAGAGGAAGGGAGAAAAAGAGAGAGGGATAGAAACATCAATGATGAGAGAAAATCATAGATCGGCTGCCTCCCACACACCCCCCACTGGGATTGAGCCCACAACCCAGGCATGTGCCCTGACCAGGAATCAAACTGTGACCTTCTGATTCATAGGTCAAGACTCAACCACTGAGCCACACCAGTCAGGCTAATATGTTTTTTTCTTAATTGATTTTGAGAGAGAGAGAGGAAGGGAGAGGGGGAGAGAGAGAGAGAGAGAAACATCAATTGGCCACCTCCTGCATGCCCCCATACTGGGAATTGAGCCTGCAACCTGGGCATGTGCTCTGACTGGGAATCAAACCAGTGACCTCTTGATGCATGGGATGCTCAACCAACTGAGCCACACTGGCTGGGCCCTCAGGCATAATTTTAAGGTCAGGGATATAGGATGGAAAACAGTATGGAGAGAGGGCTATACATTGCACTGTGGCTCCCCCACAAGCCCTCCCCACCCAACCCCCAGGATGCCAGTAGCCAGGCATTCATCAAGGCCACTTTCCTTCCCTGGGAAAATAGAAAAGTCTCTGGAGGCCCTGAGGACCCCAGAAGGAAAAAAAACCCTCCACTGACTGACATTTTTTAGTTCCTCAGTGAAGACTAATCTTGCCTAATAAAGAAATTTCTAAAAATTGAAGATCACAGCACCTGAATAAAAGAGCCCACTGAGGGCCCAGCATAATAAATGAAAGACCTGCACCAAGGCCTATCATCATACAATTTCAGAAGAGGTTTTAAAAGCATCAAACATGAAAAAACAGCCCTATCCGGTTTGGCTCAATGGATAGAGCGTCAGCCTGCGGACTGAAGGGTCCTGGGTTCGATTCTGATCAAGAGCACATGCCAGGGTTGTGGATTCAATCCCCAATGGGGAGTGTACAGGAGGCAGCCGATCAATGATTCTCTCTCATCATTGATGTTTCAATCTCTCTCTCCCTCTCCCTTCCTCTCTCTGAAATCAATAAAAATATATTTTAAAAAAAAAGAAATGCCATAATTTAAAAAAAAAAACACACACAAAAAAAACGTGAAAAAACAATCCAGAGACATAGGCACAGGAATCAGAATGAAGTCAGACTTCTCAACAGCAATACTGGGGAGGTTAAGTCCCAGGAAAGCTTATTTCACATATATATTTCATATATATACTAGAGGCCTGGTGCACAGATTCGTGCACTGGTGGGGTCCCTCAGCCTGACCTGTGGGGATCGGCCAAAACCAGCTCTCTGACATCCCACAAGGGGTCCCAGATTGCAAGAGGGCACAGGCCAGGCCGAGGGACCCCACCGGTGCACAATCAGGGCCAGAGAGGGACCGCAGGAGCGCTCCAGGGCGTGTCCAGCCCATCTCGCCCAGTCCCAATCCACCAGACTCCAGCAGCAAGCTAATCTACCGGTCAGAGCGTCTACCCCCTGGTGGTAAGTGCTGGTCATAGCGACTGGTTGAACAGTCGGACACTTAGCATAGTAGGCTTTTATTTTATAGGATATATATATAGATAGATAGATATAGATATAGATATATTGATTTCAGAGAGGAAGGGAGAGGGAGAGAGAGAGAGAAACATCATTGATGAGAAAGAATCATTGATCAACTGCCTCCTGCACGCCCCCCCACTCGGGATCCAGCCCGAAACCCCTGCATGTGCCCTGACCGAGAATCAAACTGTGACCTCCTGGTTCATAGGTCAATGCTCAAACACTGAGCCATGCCAGCTGGGCCCAAGGAAACTTATTTCTAAAGTGGAATTATATACCCAACCAATTTAACATGAGGCCAAAAATATTTTCAGACTTCTAAGGACACACAGAAAAAAATATTTTTCATTTCTTAGGAAGCTACTAGAGAATGTGCTTCAACAAAAAGAGAGTGTAAACCAAGAATGAAGATGAGATGAATCCAGGAAATAGGGCGATCAACAGAGAAGACTGACAAAAGGAAATCCCAGGGCACTGGTGCACCAGGCTTAGTAAGCAATGGGTCCAAATGAGCAAAAGACAATGGGCAGAGTCTCCAGGGAAAAGATGGAACCGATCATTTAGGACTGAATATTTAGAAGAAAAATTGCTACATGTTTGGAGCATTTGGAAGAAAATAGCTCTAGGTACATTGAAAATTAAGCAATTGGAAAAAGAAATTAACTCCAGGTGAAACCAATTTATAAGAGACAGAAAATCTAATAGGTTACAGCTTGAATGCACAGTGTTTATTTGGCCAATAATGTAAACATTAACTATTGATTTAACTATAAATTGTGGGAAACTATAGTATTGTGAGGACAAGGGAGTAAAAATAGGGGTTAGAGTGGTACAAGAGCTAATTCCTCAACTGCCAGAATATACATAATCTATAATATTGACAAATCCAATAATAGTAATGTACTAGTTTGCTAGGCTCCCATTACAAAGTACCACCACAGACTGGCTTAAACAGCAGAAACTTATTATCTCTGTTCTGGAGGCTCTGATCGAGGTGTTGGAGGTCAAGTGTTACAGGGTGGTTTTCTTCTGTGGCCTCTCTCCTTGGCTTGTAGATGGCTGACTTCTGTTGTCTTCCCACGATCTTCCCTCTGTGTGTCTGCCCTAATCTATATATATAAAAGCATAACATGCAAAGTGTCCCCTCGGGAGTTCAACCGACTGGGAGTTTGATCACTCGCTATGATGTGCGCTGACCACCAGGGGGCAGCGCGGAACAAAGGAAGGCCCCAGCCAGTGGCTGGCAGCTGCTAGGGACCCTACCCATGCACGAATTTCGAGCACTGGGCCTCTAGTATTTCATAAGGACACAAGTTATATTGGATTAGGATCCGCCCTAATGACCTCATTTTAATTAATTACCCCTTTAAAGACCCCTATCTCCAAACACAGTCACATTCTGAGGCACTGAATGCTAGGGGATGAGGGGGACACAACTCAGCCCATGCCAAGTAGTATAAACTCATTATTTGGGATTATAGAAGTAAACAGAAGAAATAGCCAACAGACTTGAAAGTGGCCGCCTCTGGAGTGAGACTGGAGGATCGCAAGGAATAAGGCAGGTACTATTGATGTTTTACTATCAATAGTGGGGAGCTGGACCTTGAACCCAGTCTGATGTCAAATCTGATGTTCTTCACTCTACCACAAGATCTGGAGTTCCTCACGGGCCCTGGCTGTGCCATCTTCATCTCTGCATCTCCCACAGCACCTTGCACGGTGCCAATGTGATGGGCCAGCGGTTCTCAACCTGTGGCTCGCGACCCCTTTGGGGGTCGAACGACCCTTTCACAGGGGTCGCCTAAGACCATCCTGCATATCAGATATTTACATTACGATTCATAACAGTAGCAACATTACAGTTATGAAGTAGCAATGAAAATAATTTTATGGTTGGGTCACAACATGAGGAACTGTATTTAAAGGGCCAGAAGGTTGAGAACCACTGTGATGGGCCATCACTACATATTCACTGATTTAGAGCTATATCACTGTGACCTTCCATGCTGCCATTTGTTTGTTTTCTGTCTTAAAAAAGAAGACGGGGAGCCGAAACCGGTTTGGCTCAGTGGATAGAGCGTCGGCCTGCGGACTGAAAGGTCCCAGGTTCGATTCCGGTCAAGGGCATGTACCTGGGTTGCGGACACATCCCCAGTGGGAGATGTGCAGGAGGCAGCTGATCGATGTTTCTCTCTCATCGATGTTTCTACCTCTCTATCCCTCTCCCTTCCTCTCTGTAAGAAATCAATAAAATATATTTAAAAAAAAAAGAAGAAGACGGGGAAAACTGAGATTCAAGGGAACTAAGTGGCTGTAAGATCCCACTGAAAGTTTCCTGCCCCTGGTGTCCTAGAATTGCTGGGTGCATCTGCAATAGCACTTTGAGTTTTGATTCTAGAATGGGTCCATCCACAGCAGGGCAGGGACACCAGGTGCTTTCCTGCCTGATTAAGCTAAAGGTGATGTTTCAACCCCTCCTCCCTGGGGTCCAGAACAGCCACTCGCCCCATTTCCTTGAGGCCAGTTTGGCTGTTGAAGATGGCCATGGGCTCTGAGAGTTATTCTCGGACGTAGGGCTGTAATATTCCCAGTGATTGATGCATGATCCCATGAAGGGTTTTGGTCATTTTTGTGTTTAGGTTGACCCACAGCTGTTCATCTGGCTGTCGAGGCTGACAGGATCCGTGGTTGTCTCTGTCCTGGAGGCGACGTGACGCCCTTCCTGGGAGCCCATAGCAGTGTCCTCTGGGGAGGAGCGGAGGTTGGTGTGTATGTCTGTCTGTCTCAGCGTGCTCCAGGTTATTGCTTCCTAATAAAATCCTGATAGCTGGGCCCCATCAATATCTCAAACACATGTGAGGAAACGTTAATTTAGAATCAATTTTAGGATGTTTCAGACTGTAAAGTCCTTTTAACTAGATCTCTGGCAAAGATGTAGAAGCACTTTATGGGACTGTAAATTTCATGTTGAACCGTCTTCGTGAAATACCCATCTCCCCTACACACAAGCTGTTCTCTCCATATCAATCATGGCCGCTGCAAGTAATGTTTCACAAATATTCTGTAAATCACAGAAAACCCCATGATAATGTGAAATATGACTTTCACTTGTCTGTTAGACAAAAGAATCACACATGCCTCTCTCCCATCAGCACTAACATTTGTTATGGATAATAACACTTTCAATCACAACTATTTTTGGAAAACGGGTTTATTTTAAACCTTCCCTCCCCCCACTGAAAACACTCTCCCAAGGACACAGGCTCCTACAAACCACAGCCCATTAATCCAACTATGGAATGGGAACTTTTTCTTCCCACTAACTTTTTTTTAAAGTTGTTTTTTATAAAACTGGCTGGATGGCTCAGTTGGTTGGAAAGGTTGCAGGTTCGATCCCCACTTGGGGCATTTACAGGGAGGCAATCGATAGATGTTTCTCTCTCACATCTATGTTTCTCTCTCCCTCTCCCTTTCTCTCTCTCTAAAATCAATAAACACAGCCCAGCCGGAGTGGCTGGGTTGGAACATCGTCCCGTGCACCGAAAGGTGGCGGGTTTGATCCCTGGTTGGGGCACCTTTGGAAGACAATCAATCGATATTTCTCTCCCTTCCTCTCTCTAAGCATATCCTCAGGTGAGGATTTAAAAAATAAAATAAATAAAAACATATCCTCAGGTGAGGGTTTTTTTAAAGTTGTTTTTAAGAGAATTAGTATAAAAGCCCAAGGTACAAGGTTAGGAGTATTTAAGAGGGGGACAGGCCTCTAAAGTCCCTAAATCTCTGACCCTGTGTGAAGTGACGGGTAAGACAGGCCCAGGTTTTTATCAGGCACCTTCATCTCAACTGGAGCCTGTGGTCCTTTTAGTTGCTGGCATCCGCAAAGATGCCAAAGAGCTAAAATTTTAGCCCTTCGATTCGAGGCCGGCATTTACCTTGATATTTGTAATTCGTTACAACACAGCCGGAGCTTCCCTGTTCGAGCAGCAGGTGACCAGTGTAGAGGTGTATTTTGAATCTCACTGTATCCATGCGGGTGACAGGCTCACCTGTTTCCAGTTGGTTGCCTGAAGAGCGAAGCCCCTGAGTAACCTGCAGGACTCGCCTGGTTCTGAACACTGTGGTAACCTGTCTGTTTTCCTTCCCTCTGTAGCCAACCTCAGGCCTGATTGACCATGACGTCTATAAAGGAGCAGGCAGCAATCAGCCGGCTCTTGAGCTTTTTACAGGATTGGGACAATGCTGGGAAAGCCGCAAGGAGTCACATCCTTGACAATTTCATTGAAAACAACCAAGGCAAGACTGCCTCTGAGCTGGAGCAGGAGTTTTCCCAGGGAGCCAGCTTGTTCCTGGTACGCTTGACCACCTGGCTTAGACTCACGTATCCTTTGCTGAACAGGAGAGAGAGAAAAAACAAACAAAATAGGCCATCTTCAAAAGAAAAAAGGAGGCGCGATTATTGAGGGAGCTCTTTTCTCCATTCTAAGATTTTAGAACCGGACATCTGGTGGTCAAATATCATCCAAGAATCAAGAACTCTCTCAATTTCTTGTCTTTCCAACCTATAAATATATCCTCATCTCACTCCTAACCTCTTTCGTGCCCGTCAGAGTCAGTCGGTATTCCTTCCGTCTAGCACTAATCCTCTATTAGTATTGCACTTGAATCCCCTCCTATCTCCTTAGGGACTTTATTCTTTCTCTGCTATGGTTTCCACCTTTGCCTCATCACCAAATTTATTCTGATTTTTATTGATTTCAGAGAGGAAGGGAGAGGGAGAGAGAGATAGAAACATCAATGATGAGAGAGAATCATTGATCAGCTGCCTCCTGCATGCCCCCTACTGGGGACTGAGCCCACAACTCGCGCATGTGCCCATGACCAGAATTGAATCCAGGACCCTTCAGTCTGCAGGCCAATGCTCTATCCACTGAGCCAAACCAGCTAGGGCTCAAACCCCTTTTTTAACCTTGAACTTCCAGAATATATGAGTGAAACTAAGGATTTGTACATTACAATGACAAAACTATTAGTTGCCATTTATTGAGTCTTTTTCTAGGCACTAAGTTATGTACTGTACAAATATTATCGCATTTGAACCTAACACCAAGCCTATTAAGTGATTGGTATTATCCCATTTTATAGATAAGAAAGATGAACCTTTAAAAGGTTGAGTAATTTACTGGTAAGTGGCAGAGATAAGGTTTGACAGGTCTGTCTGGCCCAAAGCCCACATGCCATCCACCCCGTGGACAGTGCAGAGCCTCAGTTCCACCTCTAACACTAAACAAGGAGATAATCTAGCCCCACTCCCTCCACCTGCCTACAGGCAGGGAGACCTGACTGTAAGGACTCAGACTCTGAGTGCGACTGCCTAGGTCAGTGATGGCGAACCTATGACACGCGTGTCAGAGATGACATGCGAACTCATTTTTTTGGTTGACTTTTCTTTGTTAAATGGCATTTAAATATATAAAATAAATATCAAAAATATAAGTCTTTGTTTTACTATGGTTGCAAATACCAAAAAATTTCTATCTGTGACACGGCACCAGAGTTAAGTTAGGGTTTTTCAAAATGCTGACACGCCGAGCTCAAAAGGTTCGCCATCACTGGCCTAGGTTCATATCCTGGTGCCATCAGTTAGCATTGGGATCTCGGGCCGGTCATTAGCCTGTCTGAGATTGTTTGCTCATGAAGTGAATGGAAATACCACCTGGCCAGCGTGGCTCAGTGGTTGAGCGCCGTCCTATGAACCAGGAGGTCACGGTTCAATTCCCGGTCAGGGCACATGCCTGGGTTGCGGGCTCCATCCCCAGTGTGGGGCATGCAGGAGGCAGCTGATCAATGATTCTCGTCGTTGATGTTTCTATGTCTCCCTCTCCCTCTCCCTCTCTGAAATCAATAAAAATATATTTTAAAAAAAGAAAGAAAGAAAGAAATACTAATAGCACCCACTGCAGGGTGCGGTGAGCATTCAATGAGACAATGCAAGCAATGTCATCAGCACAGTGCCTGGCACACAACCAATGCTTGGCATTTGTTAGCTACCGCTGGTATTGTGGCAGACTTCTGGAACTAATTGCTGAAATAATGGACCAAGAATGCCTGTGAGTGGCTGTGAACATAGGACTTGCCTGGGACAGAGGAAACAGGAGGTGATGAAAGTTGGTCAGCCTAGCTGGTAACTGAAGAAAAGAGGGGAAATGCACTGAGGCAAGAATGGGGGCTGGGGTTCGGGGGAGCAGGGGGCAGACAAGGTAGGAATGGAGGGACTACCATGTCAGCTGATAGGCAGGCCCCCAGCTATAGCGGCAACAGGCAAGACCAAACACTGTTTCTGTAGTAAAGAGCCTTTCCTAATGAGCCAATCTGTCTCTACGTCTATTGGCATCCTGGGAACCAGGGTGCGGCAGAGATAATTTGCCTCACGCACCCTCCCCCCTAACAAAGCACCATTACCTCCAACCCGTGACATTAGCCTTTATCAGTCTTGGAAGCTCTCAGTTATCCTCCATGAGCTGCAATAATTTCAGCTAATTTCTTAAGTGTTCTAAGAGCCTGTGATGTGTGATGAGCCTAGTAATTGTTGACTGGTTCCTTTTCTGTTGTGGTTTGATTTCATACCTTGTATCCAAGCTGATGCGTGCTCTGGGTGCTTTATTACAATGAAGCTTTTTGCAAAGGCTCACATTAAAAATAACATTAAATACCGAGGTTGTTTTAAATCAGAGTTTAATTTTTCCGCTATCTCCTGTTGTTCTTATTAGGACGACATGCAATTCTTCATAAAGATGGTGACCTCCAGGGTAAAGCTTTGAGCAAGTACAAAATTGGGAATTAATGATGAAGCTGATTGTTTTTAGAGAAGTCTAAAAATGAGGCGCAAAGTAATGAACCATGCTGAGATCCAAGGGTGCAATGGTGGTGGCAGAGAGGCTTTCTCCAGGCAGCCTTTGTTCCTCAGAGCCTCCGTGCTCTCCAGAGAGCCTGTCGGAGCCACGGAGGCTGAACTGTCCCAGGAGAGCTTCCTGGAGAACCATGAACATGCCTGCCAGCACCCCCGCTCCCTACCCCACATGTGTCGCCCCTTCTTCAACCTAGTGGCCCTTCTCAGGTAAAAGGTCATCCTAGGTCATTGATGGTGCCAGTGATCAGACACAAGGTCCGGTTTCTGTGTGGGAAACCACCCTGAAATTCACTCTTTAACTTGTCATTCAGCTATATGACCGGCTCAAGCTTAGAGAAGGTTTTAAAGTCCATTGGCATCTTCTTAACATCTGTAAACAGGTAAGTTCTGTTCTGGAGAGATTCTGGGTTCTCAGTTGCATATCGGGCTCATGGTGTCCTTGGCATCCGCACCACATGGGACCAGGGCTTCTAGTTGTCTGTGGGTACCTAGTAGCCCCCAGGATGGACCCAGGGGTAGTGCCAGCTGTGCTCCTGTTCTAGTTGCTCCTCCATCCCATGTTCTCCATTGACCCTTTACTAGTCAGCATCCCCTTGGTCATGAAATACAGAAAATCAACTCAGACTGGACCAGGGAGAATGGGAATTTATTAGCTCACTAACCTGAAAAGCCCAGAGGCCTAACTAGATCCAGGGCTTCAAAACATGTCGTTGGTACTTGGTCTTTCCCTCTCCTTTTCTCCGTTTCTCAGCTCTGTTCGCCTCTGAATTCATAGGCCTCGTTGTGCTGTGATCCTCAGAAGCTCCAGACATGCATCTTTGTAGCTCAACCACACACCAAAAAGAAAGTGTATCTTTCCCACGGGTTCCCAAGAAAGTCTCAGGTTTTGAACCTCAGTGGACCACCTCAGGGCACACATCTGGCCCCAAACCAATGGCTACAGTCACCTGCTTACCCTACCAAAACCACATGGCTCATGAGGGGTAGAGGGATGATTCCCCCAGGGGCAGTTGAGCTGCTATTACAAGAAAAAGAACAGATGCTAGAAAACCAAACACAAGAAATATTCATTGTATTGAACTTGCTAAATGCAAAAGGAAGAATTTCCCAACTATTGTGTCACTTTACCCATGAGCGTTTCCTGGATAGGAGGGCAACGTATGTGAAGAAAGGACCTTAGAAAGGTTAGGGCCAAGGAGCTTGACAAGTGTCTTATTTCTACTCTTCTGTCTCTGGACAGTAACCGGTACCTTATAGAATTTCTTGAGGTTGGAGGCGCCCTGACACTCCTGGAAAACACTCCTGGAAACACTGGGGATGGAGAAGATCAAAGAGGAGGACAAGAAGGAATCCATCAGGCTACTGCAGGTTATTGCGAACTCTGGCAGGAAGTACAAGGAGCTCATTTGTGAAAGCTATGGTGGGTACTGCGTATGGCAAGGGCCCGGGGGAAGCGGGGGCAGGCCCAGCACACACACACACACACACACACACACACACACACACACACCCGCAGGAAAGCTGCCGCGGAACCGCTGCACCGCCAGCACTTTGTCCAGGGGACTCCGTTAGCTCCCACGCAGATCGCCACCCCCAGACCCAGATTTATGATTTTCCTGATTCATCATCTGCTCAAATCTTTCTGCTGTGGTTTTGGAAACACTTTTTCCATTTTAAATATATCCTTTTGCATGCATCTATTCAACAAAGATTTATTGAGCCATTGCCTAAAATCCTTTGTGAAACCGAGTTATGAATAACTCTAGAAATAAAATTGAAATAAAATCATTGAATATGAGTGCTAGGTATATGCTAAGGTGCTGGGAACACGAAGATGAATAAAATACAGTCCCTGCCAAAGAGCTTACAGCGTGGTGAGAACGGTATATAATCCGGGATTTTCAGTATGATCCATCAAGTGCTCTGACTAAGGCGAGTAAAGGAGATGCCATCCCCTAAGCATCCCTTTGTCAAAGCACTTCCTTCATTGCACTTTGTTGTTGTTGTTGTTGTTAAACCTCACCTGAGGATATTTTTCCATTGATTTTTTTTTTTTAGGGAGAGTGTAAGAGAGAGGGAAAGACAGAGAAAAAGATAGATGTGTGCACATCGATTGGTTGTCTCCTGCACGAGCCCTGACCAGGGCCTGGGCCGGGGAGGAGCCTGCAACCAAGGAATCGAACTCGGGACCCTTTGGTCCACAAGCCTACGCTCTATCCACTGAGCCAAACCAGCTAGGGCCCTCGTTGCAGTTTAATCATAGTTCTCTGTGTGTCCCCCATGGCCTCTCTGAGCCTTAAGATATTTATCCATAAAATGGGACTAACACCTCCCTCTCAATATCGTTTCTAGGATTAAATGACATAGTATTTGTGAAAATATTTTGTAAATTGCTGAGCACTTATATTAGTTATCACATAGCCATCAAAATGCATGTTTTTTATTTGTGCATTTTGCAGAGCCATTTTAAATTTAGAACACTTTGATAAGCTGAGATGCCTATACTGAAACCAGCCACATAGCCAGAGGTGAACAAGACAATGATGCAACATGAGGCTAAGCCTCAACTTTGCTCTGATTGAACGGGCTTGATTAAATACATCTTAATCCTATTACCTCAGGTTGTGTAATCTTTTTTAAAATAGAATTTATTGGGGTACAGGTTTCAAGTGTACAAGTCCATAAAACACCATCTGCACACTGCATCGTGTGCCCCTCGCCCCAAGCAAAGTCTCTTTCCCTCCCCATTTTCCCCACCGTTGCCCACCTCCAGCTACCCTCCACCCCCCTTTCCCTCTGGCTGTCACCACACTGTTGTCTATGTCTATGTGTTATACATATGTTTTTTTGCTTAATCCCTTCACCTTCTTTCATCCAATGTTATGTAATCTTGAGTGAGGATTGTTTTCACAAATCCTTTCCAATTTAGCATTTCCTCTCCTTTTTGCTCAGGTGTACGATCCATAGCAGAATTTTTGGCAAAGTCTAAGTCAGAAGAGACCCAGGAGGAAGTGCAGGTTCTGCTGGATTCTTTGCTCCACGGTAATCCCAAGTACCAGAATCAGGTGTACAAAGGTCTGATAACGTTACTGCCCTCCGTGTCCCCGAAAGCTCAGCAGCTGGCCCTGCAGACGCTCCGGTGTGCCCAGGTGAGCCCAGGCTGCATGCTCCCGCGGTTCTGACTCACACGCAGTGACCTTACAATCACCTTCCACAGTCGCACTCCACGCAGGCATGAGAAACGGAGCTCAGCCTCCCACCGCACGTGTGCTGTTCAATCAGCGTTACTGCTAGAAGGCCAAGGCCGGGCAGAGAGTTCACGTCTCCCGTCAGGGTGATTTGTCCTGTTTACTTAAGGATCAGAAAGATGCTGGCAGACTTAAAAGTGTTTGAGACAAGCCACAAGGATGATGAAAGGACTGTAGAAAAGATTAAAGGAGTCAGTTTGATAGGGAAGGAATCTCGGTGCATTTGTAGATAGTGTGTAAGTGAAGAGGCCAGATCTCGGGTGCTTGGGGAAACTCCTTTATTTCTTGGCCTCTGCCTTCCTCTCAGACAGTGCCCTGGAATTGGGGCATGGTCAGATTTGGGGCATGGTGACCACGGGAAGACACCGTGCCTCGTAGGAGGGAATTGGAGACTCAAAGAATAGTTTTGAGATGAGCCGTCAAAAGCTCTCAAAACAGCTCTAGGATGGGCAGGAGGCAGGGGAACAATTAAGGGGTCAAAGAGATGGTAAGGCCGGAACTGTGGCAGTGGGGACACAGGTGACCAGGTTGGACAGACATTTTGGAGGCAGAATGCATGGGACTTGGGGCAGTAAAAGGAAAGGAGTCAAAGATGACACCCAGCTTTGGACTTAGACAGCAAGGGGAGTTGTGTGCTACCTAGCAAGTGGGGAAACCTATTTCATTTGAAAATAGTTAGGTTTTGACTCGATAAATGTAATGAGCTTTGGTGGCTCCATCTGAGGAGCAGGCCAAGCTGGTTACAGAAGACATAGATAGGTCACTTGTTTAAAAGATATTTAATCCTGAGCCTCCCTCCCATATAATCTGACAGCTCTCAGGCAGCCTTTAAAAATATATTACAGAGAGGAAGGGAGAGGAATAGAGAGTTAGAAACATTGGATGAGAAACATCGATCAGCTGCCTCCTGCACACCCCCCACTGGGGATGTGCCCGCAACCAAGGTACACGCCCTTGACTGGAATCGAACCCGGGACCCTTCAGTCCGCAGGCTGACGTTCTATCCACTGAGCCAAACCAGTTAGGGCTCTCAGGCGGCCTTTAATAAAACTTTTTCTTAGTAAACTCCCCAAGTAATTCTGATTCCTAGCTCAATTGAGGAATCACTGTTCAGAATCTAGAAGAGATGCCCATTGGACAGTAGAAAATAAAAGGCTGAAGCTGCAGAGGGATACTCAAGGTGAGAATAGCAGTTTGAATTTCATGAGCAGAGAAGTGATAACAAACCATGAAAGTAAATAAGATCACCAGGTAAAATGTAAAAAGTAAGAAGAGAGCCCTGGCTGGTGTGGCTCGGTTGGTTGGAACATCATCCAGTACACGGAAAGGTTGTGGATTCCATTCCCAGTCAGGGCACAGGGGCATGTACGGGAAGGCAACCGATTGATGTTTCTCTCTCACATTGATGTTTCTCTCCCTCTCTCTCTCTAACTCTTCTCTCTCTCTCTCTCCCATTATTAAGTGCCTCCTACATGCCAGGCACTGTGTTAGGAGCCCACATAGACTCTCTTTTTGTCTTCATAATAGCTGATGGAGGCAGGTAGTATTATCCCCATTTTAAAATATGTTTTTGTTGATTTAGAGAGAGAGGAAGGGAAAGAGATAGAGAGATAGAAACACTGATGAGGGAGAAACATTGGTCAGCTGCCTCCTGCACGCCCCCTACTGGAGATCAAGCCTGCAACCCGGGCATGTGTCCTGACCAGGAATCAAACCAGTGACCTCTTGGTTCATGGGTCAGTGCTCAACCACTGAGCCACACTGGCCGGGCTACTATCCCCATTTTAAAGATGATGGAACTGAGCTTAGGAGGGTGCTTCTTACTTATTCAAGGCCACACACTAAGTGATAGGTATTTATTTTTTTAAGAATATTTCTTTTGCCCTGACCGGTTTGGCTCAGTGGATAGAGCATCGGCCTGCGGACTGAAGGGTCTCAGGTTCGATTCCGGTCAAGGGCATGTACCTTAGTTGCGGGCACATCCCCAGTAGGAGGTGTACAGGAGGCAGCTGATTGATGTTTCTCTCTCATCAATGTTTCTAACTCTCTATCCCTCTCCCTTCCTCTCTGTAAAAAATCAATAAAATATATTTTTTTTAAAAAGAATATTTCTTTTTTAAAATATATTTTTATTGATTTCAGAGAGGAAGGGAGAGGGAGAGAGAGATGGAAACATCCATGATGAGAGAGAATCATTGATCAGCTGCCTCCTGCATGCCCCCCACCTGGGGATCAAGCCTGCAACCTGGGCATGTGCCCTTGATCGGAATCAAACCCGGGACCCTTCAGTCTACAGGCTGACATTCTATCCACTGAGCCAAACCATAAGTGGGCATTTAAATCCAACTCTCTTGAACTGCAGAGTCCTTATTCTTTCGACATCTTCTTTGCCTCTTTGAAAAAAGAACAACCCTGGCTGGGTAGCTCAGTTGTTTAGAGCATCCTCATGATATGCCAAGGCTGTTAGTTCCATCCCCAGTTAGGCCACATACAAGGATCAACCAATGAATACATAAAGAAGTGGAACAACAAATCAATCTCTCTCTCTCTCTCTCTCTCTCTCTCTCTCTCTCTCTCTCTCTCAAATTAAAAAAAAAAGGAAAAAGAAAGAATGATGGAAGCCATGAAAGGAAAACAAGAAAAAACAGGACTGTAATAAGCAAGGAGAAAGAGCTTCATTCACTAAGGAAGATATGATCCGATGGGTTGAATACAACAGAGAGATTAAGTACGGGGAGAACCAAAAAAGGGTCCCAGCAGGAAAAGTGTTGGTGAGTTAGGGCTCTGTCCTATGGCAGGAAAAATTAAATTGCAGTAGCCTGTCAGAGGATGAAGAGGAGGCTTTCCTTGGGAAGCTCAGGAGTAAAGGGAAAAGAGCAATAGCAAGAGAAGACAGAGGGAAGGACAGGAGTCTCAATCTGGGTGAGCTTGAGGATGTTCAGTGCTAAAGGGCAGGAACCAGTAAAGGTTGAAGACGTAGAAAAGAGGGGTTCCCTAACTGGGTGAGGTTCCTCGGGGAAAGAAGATTTAGGATCTTCGCACTCTCCCTGGCGTGTGTCCGCCCTCCCCCCAGCCCAGGTAGCCAGCTTGCTCCTCCATCCCTAGCAGGTGGCCCGCCAGCCTCGACTGAACGCCTCCTGAGCTGGAGGGTTCAGGGGCAACCTCGGCAGATTCTCAGTCCATTCTTGGCTGCCCAGCCCTGCCCTCCTCTCAAGGGCCAAGGCCCAGTGACTGCCCGCTGCCCTCACCCTCCCCATTCAGCCAGGCTGCCTAGCTATTTGGAAGGCTGCTTTTCATTCCTCCCAGATGGACAAGATGTAAAGAGTAACCGCCTTGTCCTTTTTGTCTTGCCAGTCGATCATCGGAGCCACACACCCCAGCATCGTGGACTGCGTGCTGAACGTGCTGCGCACGATGCACCTGGAAGTCCAGTATGAAGGTAGGGGAGGCGGCCGGGTCGGCCCCACGTCACAGCAGGTGGCAGTGAGAGCTGGGCACATTCGCTCTTAAAAGTTCTCTCCTATTCACAAGAGCCTAGTCGAGTGTTCTGGAGAGCCTTGGCCGATGGAAGATGTTGATTCAGGATTGATGGGCAAGTCATTCAGAAAATGACAGTCACCTTCTGTACTTCGAATCAGCCACATGGTGCTTTCACAGTTGTTTAGAATTTGCCGGGGTCCAGAGCTGGCTCTGGTTCCCAGTCTTAGGTGGTGCTTCCCCTCTAAACAGAAATCACCCTGCGCACTGTCCTTCTTCTGGGAAACGACACTAGATAATGGTAGTCTTAGTCAGTCTTCATTTCTTGAGGACCCCTGTGTGCCCGCCACCTTCCATGCGTCATTTAATTAAACTCTCAAAATAACCACAAGAATGCAGGGCCAAGCACGTATTGGGTGTCTGAATATTCAGATGGGTGAATGGTGGGGGCAGGTATTTTTACGTTTTTCAGGCTGAAGCACTGAAGCACAGAGATTATGTTTTCCGAGGTTAGCCAGCTAACCAGATTCAAACCAGATCTGTCTGGTTCCAAAGCATGTGCTTTTAACGGTAGCACATGGCAGGTGTCTGCAGGATGTTACTCCCTTCCCTGTTCCCATAGTGATTCGGAGGAGGGAGATTCTGTTTTCAACAGGAGGGTTCAAGAGAAAGTGGTGTTTGAGGTGAGTCTTCGAGCACGGGAAGGATTTAGGAAAGCAGACAGAAGCAGAGGAGGGCATTCCGGAAAAGGGAACGGTACACATGAAGGCCTAGACATGGGGAAAAGCAGGCGTATGTGGGGGGTGACAGGTAGACCATTTGGTGGAGGTGTGGTAGAGGTCTTGGTCTAGGACAGTAGTTCCCAAACTTATTTGGCCTACTGCCCCCTTTCCAGAAAAAATATTACTCAGCGCCCCCTGGAAATTAATTTTTTTAATTTTAATAGCAATTAAACAGAAAGATATATGTATTAATGTTTCTACCTTTTTCATAAAATATAGTAAAAAAAGGTGTAAATTAGAAACATTGAAGTTTGAAATTATGAAACTATTTATTGAACTCAGAATAGAAAGGTAATACAAAAAAAGTTAAAACAAATGCACCTGTGGCCATCACCGCCCCCCCTGGATCGCTGCAGCGCCCACCAGGGGGCGGTAGCGCCCACTTTGGGAATCACTGCTCTAGGAAGACCTAGGAAGGTAGGCTAGGACCAGATTACAGAGCACCCTGAGTCCCAGGTGGAGCAGTGGGCACTCCCTCCAGTAGGCAGCATGGAGCCATTGGAAAGTGGACCATGAACAGGTGGACGGCAAGGGAAAGCACTGTGTCAGGAAGAAGGCCTGGGTGTGGTCGGCCAGGTGGCCAGAGCCACAGGGAGGCTTGAGGCTGGAGGCCAGTTGGGAAGCCTTTCGGATTGTCCATACAACAAAATGGGAACGTACTGATCTAGCTGAATACCGGGCCCCAGAAAGAGAGAGAATGGACAAGACAGAACTGCCTGGGTGTGGAGAATGAGGTGGCATAAGCAAGGGGGCATGGGCAGGGCTGAGGAGGCCAGGACAGCGAGGAAAGTTCTGGGCATCGTGCATATCGGGACTCCTGTGTCCAGAATGACAGGCTGAGCCCCAGGTCCTAGACGTCTGGGAGGGGCAGAGGAGCAGGCAGGTTCTCAGGTTCAGGCGTGCAAGTGAGAGTCAAAGATCAACAAAGGTCTGAAGGCTTACGTTCAATATCAATCATTTTTTGGAGGCGATGTGGAAAGAATGTCAGGTGTGTTTTTCCTTCAGCGGCACTGTCAGTTTTGTACTTGTTTGACCCCTGCAGGTATGTGTGGGTACGTGGGCCTTGTGTGTTGAGAAATAATGCTGTGTTGAAATTGATTTCCAGCTGGAGCATTCTCCTAGCTGGGGAGCAGTTGCCAGTTGAGGGGGTGGAGTGGTAGAGGCACCTAAGTGAAGGTCAGAAGGTTGTCGCTGGCATTGGACGAGGGAGTGACCGGGCAGCTTAATGTTGGGAAGCTTAATCAAACAACCCCGAGGAGACCGAAGTGGGTGACAGCAAGACCTCCCTCCCCCAACCCACTTCCCCGTGGCAGTGTGACCACTCCCACTCAGCCACCACTTCAGCTTAAGCGTTTCCGCTCTGAGGCCTTCCCCGGCCTGCCTTCAGCCCCTGCCCAAATGCAGCCCTCCTTCCTTAGTACCACCCTCAGCCCTCCTCCCTCTAGAACCTCCCTCCATTGGTGCAGTTATCTCCAGAATGGTAACTGCCCTTTACATAGCCTGCACAATTCCAGTGCACCTGTCATCCTTTTTGTCCTCATGTCCTCACCTTCGTCCCCAGCATACGTTAGGTCTTCCGTCCACTTTTGTTGAAAGAATGAGGGCAGGAGGTGGGAGTGCTGCGCGTGCACACCTTTAGTGACCACTTGCCTATGTGCCTTTCGCTCCCAGACCTGTGAGCAACCTCAGGCAGGGGCTGGGCTGACTCATCTCTTTTTCCAGCCCGGGGCCTAGGACATAATGGGTACTCAGTAGAAGTTTGTTGAATACATTTATGAAAAGTGGCTTAGCTTCATGTATGCTGATGAAGCCCTCCGGAGTTGGAACTGGCTCTGCTTCTTCCCATATCGGGCCCAGGTTAGAGTCCCTCTGCATTTATTTCATGACAAGGACCCCTGTGGCAGGCTGAGCATGAAGCTTTATCACTGCCTTTTTTATTTGATGTGTGCGCATGTGGGCACAGTGAAACTCTGTACCTCAAAATAATTTCAGAAATGCCCAACTCATAGCACGTGCCCAAGAAATGTCTGCTGAATAAATGAATTGTTCTTTTTCACCAGGCCCTTCAAAATAGTCTTCCTGTCACTCGGAATATAGAGAATGCAGATGGAATGATTGTCCACTAGAGGGAGCAATTTCACACGGTCGAAGCCGTGGAGGTTGAGGAGAGAATACTGTATTCCGCCTCTCTCCTCCTCCAAAGGCAGGGCAGGGCAGGGGAGCTCGGACAGGTCTGAGCTGTGCTTCTAACAGTGGTGAGCGGAGAGGGCCAGACATGACTCTCTCTTGAGTTTGAAGACGCCAAATTGCAAGACCCAGACGAAGCTTCCCTTTACCCGAGGGTGATGGCAGCAGCCAGGACAGAGAAGCCTGTGACCGAGAGGAGCGAGTGGCATAGCTGAAGGGACTGACCGTAAAGGGCAGGGTTAGTTAGTGTGTTTGTTTGCACTCAGAGACACTATTTATCTCATCAAAGTCGGGCAGGACGATCTGTTGAGAGGTCAGTGGTCAGCGTCGAGCATGAATCCGCACACACTTCCACAGTGAGCTGCAGGCGATGGCCTGGCGAGTCTCGCGGTTCGGGACATTTCCCCGGCTGAGCTCACAGAGCCTCCGGAACCAGCCTCCAGACTGTCTTTATCTGCTAGCTTGTTTTTTAAAAACAAATATTGATTGAACATGTGTGCTGTGCCAAGTACTATGCCAAGTACTTGAGTTCTGAGTTTTCTTTGTACTGAGGAGAAAAATGAATGGTTTGGGAGGAGAGAAGGGAGGATGTGCCCTCTGCCTCCCATGCTGTGTGTGCATGGAAGTGGGGGTGACATCCTTCCCCTGGGAAGGCCACAGGGAAAGCTGGATTCTCAGGCAGAATCTGTGAAAACAGGGCCAGGAGAGGCTGAGGGGGCCTGGTGACTCCTTCCAGAGCCATGTGTGTCAGCGGTGGAGGAGCCAGACCACGGCCTCACCTCCTTCTCTGTTGAGAACCCCACCTTCCCGCCTCCGTATCTGCCAGCCTGCCTGACCCGCATTCTCTGCTCTTTCCCATGACATGGCAGTGTCCCTGTTCCATCACCTCTCCTTCTGCTTGGTCTCTCAGACTTCTCCCCGCAGCCCCCCCTCCCGTTCCTTCTGGAGCACCATCTCCATTGACATGCAAACGTGCTCTGTATTTACAAGTCTCCTTGGTAATCTGTGGATTAAAAGAGATTTCAAGGACATGTCCTCCAAAAAAGGTAAAATTCAATCCGTGTTTGAGGATGCATACCCCTCCTGGACCCCAAGTTCCCAGCTACTCATCTTCCGGTTTTCTTCTTGCTCGATCTCTTACTTCTGACCCATTGGTTGATAGCAACTCACTCTCTTCTCTTGGCTTCTGTAATACCACTTCCAGATCTCCTCCAGCCTGCTGGTTTTGCCATTTTTGCTAGTTTCTCCTATTTCTCTACCAGACTGTTGGGTCAGCGTACTTCAGCTGGGTTTCCTAAAATTACCTTTCCCTCACACCTGTCCCAGCGTCCCTGGAGGAGGGTGGTTAGGGAGCTCTGTGTTACAGGTTCTGAAACACCCTGCCCTTCCAGATTCTTAAAAAAGCCTGGAGGAGCCCTGGCCAGTGTTCTCAGTGGTTAGAGTCTCGGCCTATGCACTGAAGGGTTGCAGGTTCGATTCCTGGTCAAGGGCACGTACCTGGGTTGCAGGTTTGAACCCCAGCTCCAGTCAGGGCACATTCGGGAGGCAACCAATCACTGTTTCTCACGTCGATGTCTCTCTCTCTCTCTCTCCCTCTCTCCCCCTTCCTTCTACTCTCTCTAAAAATCAATGGGTGATTCTCTCTCATCATTGATGTCTCTATCTCTCTCTTCTCCCTTCCTCTCTGAAATCAGTGCAAATATATTTTTTTAAATCAATGGGAAAAATATCCTCAGGTGAGGAATAACAAAACAAAAAAATTTTTAATTAAAAAAAAAAAGAGTGGAGAAGGAAACCTGTGCACCAGGCAGTGGCTTTCTCATCCCCACGGCAAGAGATTCTGACTGCCCATTGTCATCTGACCTTCGCTTTGAAGGAGAAAGAACCAGGGAGAGGGGACTGACGTCTTCATCCACTGATTCTGGAGGAGTTTTTTGTTTTCAGATACTTTTAAGATTTTAGAATTTCTTTCAATGATGAGCCCACTTAACCT